ACGGGTTCGGTCTTCCTGGGTCAAGGTCGCCTATTCTCGAGTCAAGCTTCGCATTGTGGTTGATATCTATCAAGCAAGGATTATCGTCGACTATTCGTTCTTTTGGCCTTCGTCTTCCCTCAAATCACATTAACACCATTCTTTATTGATGCCCTTCATTTCAAACACTCCCTCTGTCGGAGTGGAATCTAGTGAGAGATACATGAACGGTGAGTCCTCAGTTTTGCTGTAGAGCGAGAAACAACTGAATAGAACATGTCTAGCTACCTAGTGAGAGATACACGAATGGTGAGCTAGAGAGAGACATTATAAGCATACATGTCATAGGAGTCATGAGAGAAACGAATGGACATACTCCTCAGTTGTGCTGTAGAGCAAGAAACAACTGAGGGAACAGAACAAAAGGCTCAGGGTATATAAGAGTGAATAGAAGACCCTAAGCCTGAGAGAAAGACAGAAAGAAAAGCGATGAAAGAGTGTGTCTTTAGTGTCCATTCAAATGTCCCTGAGTTCTTCAGGAAGCCGAAGCGTTCCATCTATAACTCAACACCCTCACTTCCAGTGAAACCACTCTTTTCTCGTCCCTCGTTTTATCCTCGCTCCTTGCAATTGCTCGCATCAGGAAACAGCCCCTGGGCCATAGTCAACAGGAGGTGCTCTAAAGCACCAAGAGTTCTCCAGAGTGCCTATAGTCCCATAGTCCCCAGAGTCAGGTGCTGTTACATGATTTTTGTGAGAAAGAGGGAATGATACATGACAGGCCACATGTCACAGGCGAAAATGGGCACCCCCCTCCCTGATTCATGTGGTGAAGGAAAGATTCTGACAATATTACCAAAATGCCAGAGTCCCCAGAGTCAGGGGGGGTGCTATTTCTCCTCCAGTGCCTATGCTTGCTCTGGAGTGCTCCAGAGTAGGTTGGCTTTTTCCTGATGTGCTCCTGGGTCTTCCTCTTATTGGTGTCACTTTTCCATCATCCCCCTGCACGCTGTATCATTCCATTCACTGTATCACCATCCCTGTTGTGTCCTAACCACGTCTTTCTGTTCACTTCCTTTTTCCTTTATTGATCCGCTGTATCATTAGCTCCTTTGCACCAATCGCTCCCTTGTATCATTAGCCCTTTTGCATCCTCGCCTCCTATCCTTGTATCCATTATTACCCTCTAGCCTGTGGAATGCTATTATTATTCAGTATTAACCTGCACTTGGAGCACTTGGATATCCTTGTGAGAAGATTCCCCGTAGTGATTCAAAAGTCTCGGCCTAAAGCCGTGAGCCGGCCTGAGCCGGGCCGGGCCGCTGTCGACGGCTTGGGCTCAGGCTTGTGGTGGTGCAAGACGGAGCTGGCCTTTTGGGCCACGGCCTTGCTTATGTAATCTAATGCGCGAGCACCTTGGAGATTTTCGCAGCGCGAGCTCACGATCAAGTACCATGCAGTAATTGCGAATGCGACATTTCGAATTTTCAGCCCTCGCGTTTCTAACAATTCAGATATCCCGTATCTTCGACTAGCCATGAACGTTTGAATGACAGCCCCCCTAAGCTTCAAGTTATTCTGTCTTCGATCCAATGGCTTCCAGGACGCAAAAAAATCGTTGGCACAATATCAAGTACGTTGTTCCATGAATGCCGATATTGCGGTTTATTTCTATCTAGCCACATAGCCTATGCGATTGCTGAATGGCGCCAAAACGATGCCACGGGCTACGAAAAAGGACTCAACACCGTTCTCTCTGCACGCGCGCGCCCGGCGGTATGCCCTTTGCCGCGTAATGTCCCCGCGCGGTCGTATATCTTTTCATGGATTACAAGGCCGCGGAGCAGTTGCACTGTATCAAGCAGCCCATAGATCACACGCACGGCGGCAAGGTAAATATCCGTGCTCTCAGCACGTCATAAGGCACGATTAATCGCGTGCATCCCATATCCGCCTACCCACACATCAAGCTAACTCTAACTCCATTTCCCACAGCAAATTCCTCAAGATTCAGAAAGTCGAGTATGACTCCGCAAATGCCACCCTCATCCACATCAACAATTCCCTCACAACGGGGCTCAACTCCATCAGCACCATTCAGCACCTTGCCGCCTGCAACGCTTCCGGCAACCACGACAACCACGACCAGCATGTCGTCGAGTGGCTCAAGCTCTCGGGCAACTGACCCACGTAGAAGACAGAAAGAAGGGTAAGAAACAATTTCCCCGACGGCTGGAAGTGGGGCAACAAGCAGCCAAAATGCTGCACCTCTCTTCTCATCCATCCCTTCTCATCCTCAATACTCACTAACTGAATTTGGAATCAAAACAGCGTATTGGATGGTGGCAAATACAGCTACCTTGCCACGCATGGTCCACATCCCCCCAGCATCCTCTCCATCATCCCCATGCGCTTTGCGACCAGCCGTCCCCGACCACTCGGGCGCACGCTCAAACCCAAGCACCCTTCCATGTTGTTCGTCAAGCTGCACAACCAGCAGGAGTGGGCCACCTTTGCTAATTTTCTGTCACCCGTGGGCGACGCTCAATGTCTACTCGCTCACCGACGACGGCATCGTCATGCAGAGTAACAATGAGAATTCATCAGCTCCCCTCCATTGATACAGCACCATCAGCCCGTCGCGCTTTCTGAAGCTGCGAGCTGCCTCACACTCGCATCTACACACGCAAAATCGTGCTTCCAGCTCTGGCCAACATCCCGAGAGTCCGTCGGGGTTCAAGATGATGGTTGTTATTGCCAGCACCTGTACTGAAATATATCTAGTTGCTTCAATCACACATCTTACAAGGCGCGAGTATTAAGTATCATCAGGCCGTGGCCCAAGCCTGAGCCGGCCGCGAGCCGGCCGCAAATTCGGGCTTAGGCTCAGGCTTGGATTTTCATGGGCCGGAGCCGGCCTGTTGGGCCTAAGCCGGGACTTTTGAATCACTAATTCCCCAAAGAACAGATGAGGACATCGTGCGGCGCTAATAAATTCGGGCGTGGACTCTTTGGACTTCTGGGTCACGTTGTACTTGGCCCCAATCTGGAAATGCTTTCATTGATTAACTTGAAAGATATACTGGCCGGGTGGCGTTTTTCAAAGGTGCTGTCTGGGCGTAGAGGCAAAGCAGTGTGAGTCAGATCGCCGAGAAGCAATTAGGCTTCCTGCGCTCTCTTTTGCCTTTTTTTTGACTCGATTATAGCCCAGAAATTGGGTGTAGGCGTGAAACTTGACTGGGGTTGGTTGGGGCCCTCGCCGATGGCGTTGAGTACGACTGGAGAGGGAAGCCTCGAACATCCATTTGCTGAGTAATTCACAGCCAACATCGCTTTCCCAAGCCATGTCATCGGACTCACCACCACCATCGCTATCTTGCTGTAGCACGATTCGCACAAGTTCTCGCTATCGATACTGCACGTCTGAATGCTTGGATTGCTTGTGGGAAGCCGTGCATCCATTTGCGCAAGGCCCGCATGAATAGCGGATTGCTGTTGGCGCACTGAAAGCTGCTCGACTATCTGCGCATCTTCCTGTTCCCGTCAGCATGTCTTCTATGGTGCATTGGCTATCTGATCTTTGTTCATACCATTTCTACGCTATAGTATACGGATACAACTGGATCTATTTCTCCTTGACCCGACTGCGAGATGACTTCCCGAGTGGCCTCTACTGAGTAGGTGATACTGATAGTCTGCTGTACGATCTCACACTTCTTGTTTTGGGGCATTTAGTCTCCCACGCCCCGCTGACAACACCTCCACACACACGCGGACTGGCCTCTCTTCAAAGTGTCGCATTTTATCGCCTTCCTTTGGACGGAGGTTGATCTCGTCGCACTGCCTACCCGGGTGAGACTGCTGGTCCGGTGCGCACTCTACATCCCACAGGCTTAGATGGAAATACAATTTGTACCAGCTGAACTCTCACTGAATTTGACGGCGAGACGATGCAGAGCTTCCGCTCCCAGACCGTTGTTCGCTCTGTACTGCAAGATTTTTAATTTTCTTCATGTTATACTAATATCTCATTTTTCTCTTGGTTCATCAGCTGCTGCTCCCCGGTCTTATTGTCACAGCCGCTGCCTCCGTGCGGATTTTTATCGCATTCGCTGCTCTTGCTGGCAAGGGCTCTACTTCCATCCACGCTCCTGTGGCAATCTCTCTGCTCTTGAGGCCGACACAATCGTTGGCGCGCTTCCTTCAGATGCTGTCACTATTCCCAAGCCTCTCGCTGTCATTGACACCTCCAATACTGCTGGCACTGCTCTGTCCGTGCCTGAGGTCGAAGTCAATGATTCCGGCAATGCCCCCTGGGGCCACTCTGTTCTGCGTCACCCGCCCCGAAGTAGTCCGTCACTGTGTCCGCACTTGCCACTGCGGCTGTCAACACTCCAGACCCTGTTCTTGCTACTGTTCTGGCCGAAGTTCCCAAGAGTCTGCATCGCCATCCCTAAGGGTATCGTGTTTCCACACCAGAAGCTCGCCCTGTGTTCATCATTAAACCCGGACCCACTCCCGCGATCGAATTCTCTCCTGTGACTATTACTGCGCCTATCGGCGGCTTTGCTGCTCCTGCCATCCCTGCTGACTTCCCTACAGCTCTCACCTTGGAACCTCAGCGTCAAGGCTCGTGGTCTTCATCGCTGCCAATGCGGACCGGAGACGGTCAAAGTAGACGTTTTGACAGCTGCACACCCCAACGCGGGTTTGGCATGTGTTCATTCCAGAAGTGCAAATGCAATATGAGGGCAGGATTTTTTTTTGCTTGACAATTTGCAGCAGGGGGAGTTCATCATCGTGTCAGACGATGGCCTCAAGACGGGTGGAGTAGATTTGTGCTCGACTGCAGCATTATGTAGCTACAGCTCAGATAGCACGCCAAAACGTTCGACTAATTCCGTGATGGTAAGCCAGTGAGATTACTTGATACCACCGCTGAGGGTTGGATGAAAGAGGACCTCTGGCTCGTTGCCAGGCTCATCATTGAACGTGTAGTGGCCGCGAGCCATTGTAAACAAGGGCGAGTAGCTTACCGGAAGCACCAGCTTTATGAACCGTTCACTCGATTCGATATGCCTGCACGGAGGTTCAAATCCTCCCTCGTCCATTCTCAATCTTTTTTTTTCGAGACCATTAGGGGCATTCACAGTGCCTCCAGAATGGCCATTCTGGGGTCATTCCGAAGCCCATTCTGACTTTTTCATATGAGAATGAGTCTGAATGGGAATGGGACTGGTGAACTGTGAATCACCCTATTTTGGCTGGGCTTATATGGTGGGTCTCGGCGTCGCCCTAAACTGCTTTTCATTTTGCATAGCTTGAGATTGTACTTGTCTGGTACTCTTATATATGAGATGAGCGGATAATGAGTATTGCATACTAGGAATACGCTAGGAAAGGAGTTATGGTCGGTAAGTATCTTGTCAGGAAGCCATCGGGTCCGCCGCATCAAAATGTCAGTGAGACCACGATTTTGCAAGTTTTGCGGGCAAGTATTACAATGAGGAGGCGGGATGCGTATACGGCCACTGCAAGGAGCTCCGACGAATGGAGATGCATCATCCTTGCGGGACCCATTGAGCGGTGATTTACGATCATCCTTCTGGAGCCATACGCGAAGGCCGCCAGTGGGCGCGATTACCACCCACTGCGCATCCAACCAAAGAAAAGGACGTCCAATTCCCCTGTACCAAATCAGAAAGCAGCGAAGATAGGATGCACAGTGCAGTCAAGCAGACAGATACGAGCTTCGAGCTGAAGAGGATAAAGGTAGCGATACGTACATACAGACAAAAAATCAGCAGTTGCGTTCTCGCGCTCTCCTACACCTCGCAGTAGCTCCCAGCGCTCCAACAATCGTGATCAAAACCTCGTTTTACGGAGGGCCGCGATAAGTTTGTTTTCTGTTGAGTTTCGCCATTTTGCGTGGACGGGACACCCCTGGTACGGCAGATTTTGAGGACTGATGTATGCCCTTGCGTAAAAGTGCGCAATAAAAATGGTGCGCTCGAGTGACGAGAGAGTGAAGGATGATCGGGAGCTCTCATCAAAAAATTGCACGTGGGAAAGTATGTATAGCGGCGCCGGCGATCTCGCACCGGGGAGCGGAACAGTTCCACTGGTAGGTCGAAGGTAATTGGGGCCCTATGATATGTCTTGCGGGGTTGACGAAAGATGCGATAAAGAAGTGAAAGTTGGCATAAATACCTAAGAGTGGGTTGGAAGGTTTAAGATGAGCTAGGAGAGGAGCATGGGTGTTATCGTAACGCTGCCTACCAAGACCGGCTCAGAGACCATTCTAGCCCGGGCGCTTCTTTGCCCAACTAATCAACACGGCTATCGCAGTCTACATCTGGAGTAGATAGGAGCCTATGTGCGCGCGGTCAAAAGCTTCAGGCTCGCCGTGGAGCTGACGTTGCGGTACGGATCCCACTCGTCCAGGCGCCTTGGTGAGCTCGGGCAGCTTTCAAGGATTGGGTATCAACGTTTAGGACAACTTGAGAATGATTGATAAAGCCTTGCGATTCAAAATTAAAGATGGCCTACTTCGAACGAGGGCGTTCCCGCCCGCTCTCCTGCAGTGCTCGCACGTCGCGATTGTCGTAGGCGTGTGATCATATTTCTCGTGCCTCGCGTGCGTCGAGGGCCGTAATATCATCGGTTTAAATTTGCTCGAGGGGAACGCGCGCGCGATGTTGGTGGTGATCTGGCAGTGGGCGAGCCCGGGGAACACGAAACACTGCATTTTGCTTCCGCCCAGCCGCGAAAGCTGCTTTACGACTCACCACCACCATCGCGCTGGGCCAACGCGCTCACCGGTACCTATGTAGACGATGTTACAGGCGGAGGCTTTTTTTTGGCGGCCTGTGGCGACTCTCCATCTCACAAGGCTGGACTCGTTACTGCGGCATTCCTATGCGCTGCCACTGGCATCCACCACAATACAAACCCGAGCTCCCTCGATCCCCGCAAGTTCTGTACTGGCAAGGCGCCAAATTATTGCTCGTATTTCAACCTGCGAACGTACATCCATCATACACTCTTCTTTGGAAGAAAGTAAACTTCTCAAGTCAACAAAAGGCTCGATACGGCGTGGTACAGTGGGATACACAAGCGAAGGCATTTGCACGAAAGCCGCATTGCCCGCTCGATAGTATGTAGTACCATTTTCCCATAATGACCCAAAGCTCACAAATACTGCTTCACGCCCATAAGATTCCTCCAGGCAACACCACACTATGTCCAGTCCACGGTGTACACGCCAAACCCGAGAAGATTGCCCGAGGTAACATCCGAGTTCTGCTACTTCAATAATAGTCGCAATGAGAAGATCTCCCGTCGCTTCATTCACCGCGCTTCCAAGTGCCTGCCACCGATTATCTCAGCAGCGTTCATACGGGCCCGATTGACCTTCCCGCCCCCAAATTTCCGCTCGGCAACTATTTTGGGCATCCAAGCTGTTCGTTCAAGGTAGACACTATAATTAAATCTTCCAGGAGCTGCGCTGTCCCATGCCATGCGGGTAGCCCAATTTGCATCCCAATGCCTCTCTCGACATTCCCTGAGCTTTGGCCTGTTATCACGAATCTCGCCGTAGAAGTTGGCGTCATAAATATAAGGTCGTGAACTGCAGGTGACCGCAGTTCCCTCCGATTCTCCATAACGCCCGCTCTAAAAGCGTTTGCATAACTTATTTAGCCCGCCGGCGCTTTTACTGCGGCTGGACTGGTGTCGGTGTGCGGACGGCGGCCCGGCGCCGGGCCAGTCCTCGCTCAAATAACAAAAGGCGTCAGTGGCCCGAATCAACGTCCTGCTCCCCCACAATCAGCATGCTTCTCCAGCGCGGTATTTGCGTTGTCCATTGATCATGCGCATGGCCAGACTGGTTCAGGTGCTCGGGTTGAGAATTAATAGCAAGTTCGACCCCAGCCTACTATCCGAAACCACCGTTCATTGTGAAGATACAACAAGAGGGTGACATAGGAGATAATACACGATACAAAGAAGGTAAATGTAGCGCTATTGAAAGAGCCGTAAGAGAGGGAAGTATCTTGAATAAACGCCGACCGGGGGTTGAGAGAGCAGTGAGCACAGCGCCGGTAGGCAGTGACAGGCAGAACTCACATGGCACTGGTACTGACGATGTCGCCACACCGGATAACACGACGACCATTGGTGGGATCCATCTCCATCCGTGATACATCCACCAAGGCAAAATAGGGGAGACGTGAGCGCTGATCGTGGAGATAGCGCGGGACCCGCACGAATGTCGTATATACAGATCACGCAAAAAGGAAACACGAAGAGCGGCGACTTCGGGTGTGATCGCAGACGTACGTGCATGGATGCGGAAAGAGTGATAGAGCCTGAGAGCAGTATATAAAAAATCACGTTAGCTTCCCCTTCAACGGTGGCCTTTGAGCTCCACGTACTTATCGTGCTCCACATCTTTGCGCATCCACCCACGTACGCTTACGAGCACGCCCGGCCGCGCCGGTTATCATGTCGAGCCGACACCGCGGAACAACTGCAAATATCTCGTGGTATTGCAGCAGTTTGATGGTATTAGGAAGCTCGCCACAGCATCGGGCTGTAAAGTGGGAACGCAATAGTGCGCGTAAGCAAGAGAATGCGGCGTCAAACAGAACCATAAGCCGCACCAGCATTCAAAGGTCCACTACTCGGGGGTCTTTGTATAAACGTAGCGGAGTCGGAGGATATCAAAGGGCATTAAGCAGTGCATTTATCAACAGAGCGGGAAGAATTTGGCGTACCAGGCTGAGTTTTGTTGGATTCGGAAACATCCCTAGAGAAGAATGCGATGTTGGCTGCGGGGGCATGATTGAGTTGGATCTGCCGACCACAGACGGAGATGATGGGTGCTGGGCAGTTAGCGACAATGGAAACAGAGGTATAGACTTGATCGGGAGCGCCCTGACCGAGTAAAAAGCCCAGAAGGCGTCCCCGAGTCTATCTGGTTTTTGAGGGGGACACCGTGCTCGTGGGCGGCGCAAAGCAGATGTTGATCTTTCACTGGGATCCTTGCAGGAGCCTACTTTCCATACACTCCAAACGCGGTCGTACTCCCCTGCGGCGTGTAGCAAACGCTGGTTGTAAATAGCTGGAATCAAACGCACTGGCTACCTGACAACGCACCGGCTGGTTTGCAGAGCCACAATTCCATCCGCAACCTCGCTATTTTATGAGTTGTGTCCTTTGCTTGCTCCCTATCGCTGGGGACTGTTGAATCTGCAAGCTTGATGGTAGAAATACCGCCAGCTGCGCCCTAATACTCCATCTTGGGCGTGACGTGTATGGAGGGGGAGTAGGTACTCGCCGTGCCCCGTATTGAAAATATTCGCAATTCGAGCGATAACGGGACCTATCCCAAACGTGGCTATGAGGATTCGCAGGAGCATGAGCGCAGAGGTTTCTGGAGCGGTGGTGTAGACATACCAGGCATGCGGGAGCAGGTTGGTTGGGACCCATGCTAACGGACGGTGTCGCACCTGGGGAGTCACAAAAACATGAGCTACAGGGGTCCCGGGAGTGAGGATGCAGATATACCTGGCATGGCTGAAGAGGGAATGGCAGGAGTGCGCGCCTCAATGTGTGCGGCCGGAGGGGGTACCAAGCCCTCCGCCGCGGTGGCGCGGTGGCGGCAGGGCTAATTTGCGGTTCATCGGCGAGTTCGCCCTGAAAAAGATCCCATCAAGAAATAGGCGTCGCAGAGAGTAAAATATGTGCGTTAAGCAGTATTTTTTATTGCATAAACGAGGAGGGAACGTACGAGCGTCGCTGCTGCGGAGTGAGCTTCCGTGGAGCAGATTTGGGCGAAGCAAGGCGTTCCTATACTGCACATCAAATATGCCCCAGTACAAAGGAGGTCATGGTCGCTACTAAGAAATGCTGGAATAGTTGACGTACCGGCTGGCTCCACACTTAAACGCTCCTTTTCATCAAACCATGCGCACATCTCGTCAAGGATCCGCGTCACGCGTGCTTGTGGAGCGAAGTTTGCGGCGGCCTGCCTCGCACTCGCCGGGCTCTCGAAGGCCGCGATGACAGCGATCGGGTCGTCCGTAAGGTGGTCGTACTGGCACGATG